GATCAGAGATCAGAGATTGCTCAGGAAGTTTTCTCTGATCCACCATCAGGAATATTAACAATACAAAATATAATGAGTAATCCAAATGATGGATCAGAGATCAGAGATTGCTCAAGGAGTTTTCTCTGAGCCACCATCAGAATATTAGTTATAAAAAATATCATAATTAATAATCCAGATGATGGATCAGAGATCAGAGATTGCTCAGGAAGTTGTCTCTCCAAGTTGCGACCAGCCAATGCTGAGAAGACACCTGAGCAGGTTTAAAAATCACGGGTTTCTTACGTGTTGCGTAAAGTTATGTAAGCCTAACCCTGACTCTATATCCAATGGCGTTAATATCGGAGCTACGCTCTGCAAGATAACCAAAAATAGTTAAGGAATATGAGTAATCCAAAGGGTGGACCATAGATTAGACGTTGCTCAAGGACTTGTATCTGATCCGCCATCTGGATTACTGAGATTACTGAAAAAAAGTTCAGCAATCTCAGTAGTCCAGAGGGCGGATCAGAGATCAGAGATTTCTCTGGAAGTTTTCTCTGATCCATCCTTTGGATTACTGCGATTCTTGAACTTTTTTTTCAGTAATCTCAGTAAGCCAGAGGGCGGATCAGAGATCAGAGATTTCTCTGCAAGTTTTCTCTAATCCATCCTTTGGATTACTGAGATTACTGAACTTTTGTCAGTAATCTCAGTAATTCCAGTTCTGACGGGCACACCCATTTCTTATATAAGCAAGGTCAAAACCCATATTATATAAAAGAAAGGAATGCTGTGGTAAAATATACATAAAACCCATACACTATATGATATTCAATAAGATACGCATCCAAAAACTAGCGTCCACAGCGTCCCTTTCTGAAACCCTAAACCCTAAACCCTAGACCAGAAACCCTAAACCCTTCACCCTCTTTTTGTAGATGCTTAGCACTTTTTCTGGATTCAAGAGTCCTTTGACTCTGGCGTATCCTTTCTTTTGTTTTAAATAACTTCAAATTTGGTTGAGGGTTTACGGTTTAGGGTTTAGGGTCACTTCTAGTAAGGTTTTTTTTTCCGATCATGATTTTAGGCTCCCCTGTTCGTTTCAGGTTTAAAGCAAGCTGTGTGCTCCAGCAGGAGAGTTTGCCTGGTGAGCGTCGTGATTGCTGGCTTTGACAGCTTTCCCAAAGGACACTATGCTAGATGCTTAAACCAAAAACCCTATAAACTCTGTTGGGTTTGACTTGAAAAGACCTTGGGCAGCTTTGCCGAGCGCCTGGCCAAGCTCAATTGCTGACTTCCAAAAATGTCTCTCACTACCGTCACGTCAGCTACAGTCTAAACTCTTTTAAGGGGGTCCTATAGGGATAATATAGCTGACTATTATAGGGGTTATTATGGGGTATACTGGGAGTTTAGACTACAGCTCGTTTGGTTCCAGTTTGACTACAGCCTTGAAAGTATAAACACATGATGACAAAATCATCAAGCGCCTGCAAAGAGGACTCATGCAACCTTGCATACGGTCTCGGATATGGGGTTCTAGGGGTTCAGGGTTCAGCCGTCAAGCGTATAGGATTGAACGCTTATAGGGTTTAGGATTATAGTCCCCCTTAAGTAGATAGAATGAGGCTTTGGGTATATTACAATAAGATCCCCATATATCCCATATTCTATCTACTTCAGGGGGGCTAGAACCCTGAACCCTAAACCCTAAATAGTAGTTTCCATGTTCTTTTCCATTATCCCCGCATCTACTTAAGGGGGACTATACATTCCCACTGCCAACCTCTAGGATCCCCAGTCTATCCAACGTTTTTTTTTACTGTGTTGTTATTAAGGACCTTAATTTAAAGTACTATATTGGGGTAGAATATGTTTTTTTTTTGGTTTAGGGGGTTTAGGGTTTAGGCTTTGGGGGTTACTACATTGGGGAAACCATTTTGGTTACTATATGTATATATACCCATTATGGTAACTTAATTTAAGTTCCCTAATAGCAACCCAATTTATTTTGACATAGCGCAGGAAGCTTCTTGAACTGATGTCGGTTCGTCTCGTCGTCATTATGCCAGGAGTATTACGTTTCGAAGGGTTCTCCACTGAGAGAGCTCTTGTCCCTACATGGGCAAGAAGCTTTTTCAACAACGTCCGAGAGCTCCATAATCCCAACAATTACGTTTGATCATCAGGCTTTTGCTTTTGCTAGTAGGAAGCTATGAAGTGAAGGAATGGTTTTGAGGCTGCTTTGGGGATACCGTTCGGATTTTGTAGCCGTCATTCTGCCGGTCTATGCCGAGCAAGAAGCAAGTTCGTTTTTCAAAATAACACCGAAACAGCAGAGACCCAAGAGAAATCTGTCAATCTTCTGACGTTCCCGGTTTCTCCCTCGGGGTCCCCCACGGCACCCTTGGATGAAAAAGTTCTCGACCCTAAACCCTAAACCATACAAACCCTCAAGCTGTTGAGGCATGGTTGCGTATCGCACCCGCTGCAGGGCAGACAGCGGCCGAGTTCGCCCGACAGGTGATGTGCCCTGCCTCAGGTGAGGGGTTTGGCATGGATTTGGTATGATTTGGTATGTGTTTAGGGTTTAGGGGTTTAGGGTTTAGGGGTTTAGGGTTTAGGGGTTTAGGCTTTAGGGTTTAGGGATGCACTGTAGGATTTTTTGGATTAATATGGGCTCAGGGGGTTTGAGCGTGCAAGATTAGGGGTAGTTCGGGGCCTAGCGCCCCGCGCCAACTGGAAATCGCTCATACTTTGGATAAACTGGATAAACATAGTCTCACATGGATCATCATGATTCCTTCCCATGCATTCTGCGTGTTGCACTAGATCGCGTTTTTTCTAAACCCTATAAACCCTAAACCCCAAAACCTATGGGAGGTGTTGGGGTCGAAGGCTTGGCCTATGCACAGAATGTGGGAAGCAAGAACAGCAACGACATTGGAGGTGGGGCTGGAAAATTCGTATGCACTGGCTTCATTTCCTAAAATCGAAATATACGTATGTTACATCACATTGGGTCATAAAGAAATGACGTGGGACATATATGCATGTTATATATGCATATAGAGGGGTCAAACTCATTTTTGGCATTCGGCATTCCGCCCCCCGCCGCCCCAAGATCCTTGCATAAACGATGCCCTTCAGCTTTTCCTCGAAAAGTAATACTTCAAGAGAAGAAACCGCCTGTTGCTGTTAGCTGACTACACCCCGTACTTTCCAGGCAGAGCATGTTGATGTGATTTTAACTCAGGGTCGCTTTTTTCAAGAATCCTAGAGAGTTGGGGCAAGATGGAAGTGATTACTGCCGTGGACCTAAACAGATGCAGGGGCTTTACGAATTGTGTTTAGCGCCCAGGGTTTGAGTGGCTTATGGTTCAATTCAAGGTGTGTTCCTGAGATCTTATGCCTGACCATGTCTTCGGTCTGAAGCTGAGGCATATCCCGGTCGATGAGATCCCAGATGCTCTGAACATGTTGCAAACATCACAAGTAAGTGATGCCATCGAATGCTTGGAGGATACCTTGAAGAGCCCACTGGAAGGATTGTCGGAGAAGTACAGGAAGCCCTTGTCTCAAGAAGCCAAGAACCAGCTAAAGGCTCTTCCGGCTTCAGACAGGGCTTCCATGCTGCAGGAGTGGCGGCACTTCTTTCGTAGCTATCTGACGGATTCTAAAGAGCCATATGCCGACAGCTCGCCCCTGTCACAGTTTTGGGCCTATGACGATGAACCGCATCCCTGGCTGGATGTTCTTGAGAGGATTGATCTCAAGATGTCTTCTTTCGGACCTGCCTTTGAGGAGCTGTACTCCACGTGAGCAAGAGCCATGAAGACTTGATGCCGTTTGGAGACCTACTAGGAAGCCATTCTGAGTTACCTGTCATACCCTCACCCGGTACCCCGAGTCCATAAGCTTCCAGAAATGTTTGGGTTTGGAAGTCGGCCATTCAAGACGGAGATCTGTGAGCGAATGCGGGGTCTTAAGCAGAAGTCGGGAGCTTCAGGTGCGCGACATGCTGTTCTGGGGAGAGATTTCGGGTTCAGGTGGGATTCGCAAAGTTATGAGCGCCCTTTCTGGGTTCCTTCGATTCGATGCACTTAGTCAGTAGGAGCATTATGTAGCCTGGGAAAGTACTTGTGTCACAATCCATGATTTAGAGATGTGGGCAAATCTTCTATCATCCCTTCGTGCTAATACCAAACACCCAAGCCCTAATGTTAGATATACCCCTGCGTATATGATGTTTCTTCCGGGGAATATTTAGCATGAGGGTTTTGGGGTTGTTTAACGGTCTAGGAATACGAAGGGGCTATATATTGCAAGCAACTTCAATGCATAGAATGGCATCAACAGAATGCGCTCATGATTCACGATTGCGCGAATTGCGCAGATTGAGCCAGGCCTCCAAATTTTAGAACAGGCAATCCCTTTATATCGATCTCATAAATTCATGAAAAGAGAAGATGGACAATCATTCGAAGATCTTGATTTTTCCAATGATCGTAAAATCAAAGATATTCCAAGATAATCTATTCTAGATTCTAAATTCATCAATATATATATATATGCTTGCCACCCCCCCCAAGATCTACGTTTAGAGGGTTTTTTCGCCAAATTAAAAAGAAATCC